ACTAGCGTTAAAAGTAATAAAAAAAGAAGATTGGGACGGTATTCAGACACTCCCGAGTTGATGTACCGGTGGGGGTTCAAGGTTTGCAAGTCACCAAGCTAAAATGAATAGCTGGAGTGATAAAATAGAAAAAAGGCTCCGTAGTTGACACGTGTAAACCATATCAGAAAACATAAAAATGTTGTCAGTAGAAATATTGTGTGAAGAAATGAATATAAGGAAGCCAAGTGAACAATAATCGAAAGTACGAACAAAAAGCAACTCAGAATATCAAAAAGAGCTACACCACCCACACAGCATTTTCAAGCGGCTGTCAGTCAACGATATCCTGAAATTCACGAAACTGAAAAGCTGGGGATGCTAGAACTAATAGAAAGACATATATCTGCTCAAAGTTTCCCATATAAAGTGTGGATTAAATATTCGTCCTTAACCATGACCAAATGTCATATCATTGACATTTCACTAGACACTCCTGATTGCTTCTATATATGACGAAAATCACATCCTACATTTCAGTGCTAGATAATATTTGTCACCGAAATCCAGGTTTGCCCAATCCCCTGATACATTGTCTCATCACTACTCGAGTCTGTATTATGATGAAATGAGCCTATCGACTGAGCCCAAATCAATCAACACCGGAAAATATCAAGTTCTAATGCCAAAGTTTCACAGGTTTCGGAAGGGTAGATATTGCAAATTGATAGTCTATATTGTGAGGATTAGTCGATTAAAGAGATGATGCCTTAGTTTGAGAGTCAGTTGAAACAACATCGCAAAATATAATGCTGGTACATTCAATTGATAAGTCCGACAAAGAAGTAAAACGCTTATCATTGATACCAGAGCTAACCAATGTCCATTCCCAATATTGATATTATTCCAGTGACGAGCTGTATCGAAGTATGATCATCCCAGCCCATGTGAACACATGAGCCGATTAATTCTGTGCAAACCAATCAATTATGGTATATAAAAAGTCGTTGTTCCACAATTTCACCCATTCAGAACGAGAGAAAACAACGGATGAGTAGAGTTGACTATGAGGATCCGAAAATTGAAGCGATGCATCTTCAGTTTGGGAGTCTGTCGAAACAAAATCTTTTATTGTAGGTGGATCAGGTACACTCATCTGACCATAACTAAACATAATGAAGTATGGTCTAAGATTCCAATAGTAGTCATTATCTTTTATGTTTATAAAAATTTAATCAATCACCGATTTTATCGATGTACCGTATCGTAAGGACATAAAACAATATAGAGCAACAACCATATAAGTCGATCCTCTTGGTGTAAAGCAATCAATGATGGGTTAAACATATTCTTATTTCACTAGTTCAGAATTAGTAGATTTCACTGTTTGGAAGCATAAGAAAAATGGATCAGATAGTCGAAGTGATATCTCATCTACTAGAAATTCGGTCATAAAAACACCACTCAGAGAGATACAGAAATATCCTACTGACTCGTCTTACAAAGAAAAAAATATGCGTCCTGATTTCATTTCTAGACATTACCCATGACTATGGTCAAAACTATTCAAATCACGGGTTATGTGGGTATAATGGCAGCCGAGTCAGCATAACAACATTATGCATTCATTTTGGTTCACATCAATCAATAATTAGGGGAAAAGTGCTAATGTGGAAATATCATTAGCGAAGAATGAGTGGAAATCAAAAGAAGTAGAGTAAAGGGTAATAATTAGAAAATAAAAGTAATGCCTCCCAGCGTGACAATTAGTTGGAATAATATAACTCTGTGAAATGCAGGTTGATTCAGTTAACCAGTCATAGATTGAGCGAAATGAACTGATAGATCCCTTAGACCTCTACTATTTTTCCAAATGTCAAAACGATTCCAATCACTGGTTATGTGTAGGTACATAAATACATAAACTGATAAATTGGAAACTAACCAATCAAATCTCTACGTCTAGACATCACTGATGCTGAACCAGTAGATATCGCATATGAATAGCGTAGAACGTCAGTATAAGATAAATGAAGCCGGAAAAACAATTAATGAGACACAGCTTGATCAAACTGACTAGTTGCAAATGAAACGAAACAGACACTCCTATGACATTGACAACCACTGTTATTCTTGAGCACTGAAACCAATTCAATGAATTGCTGTATCGATGCGTCGATACTCAACCCACATAACGACAAAAACCAATCAGTTTGGTGGAAACTCATCAGTAATAAGAAATAAATAGTTCTGATGTCGTAATGTTATTAGTACAGAAAAATTGGATATCGCAAATATCCGGCAAAGACGGTAAGCATTCAACAACTGAGGCGATGAGTCAATATAGTCAATATAAAAAGAAGCACTCAGTGCTGGGCATGCTCATCTAGCTCATCAGTTCCAGAGAAGGCAAAAAGTACATCTGCATTCCACTGACAGCCACAATTCATTTACGATAAGAAGGTTAGTACAAGCCTAGACTACCAAAAATCCTCGATAAAACAGCCCTCATGACAATACAGTCCAACGAATTCACAGAAAGCCAATAAACATCACGACATAAGATACTGTATGTCACAATATCATAAGTGATGGACACGTAGATATCGCATTTGGTATGCAAATGTAGGGATTCAGAAATTCAAGCGATGCACTGTGAGCTATGGGATCTCAGTAATAGAACCACCATATAGTGAGTTCTTCGTAAACTCAGCTGACCACCCCAGACGGGGTGTAAAACTGAGTCCAGATTTTCTTCGCAAGTCACACCATGCACCTCCAATATCAAAATTCATTCAATAACCGGTTGCATGAACACACCGATAACAGACCCTGTATCAAAAACATCGTGTTAAGCAATCAACAACAATAAATAAATAGCCCGAATGTCAAAATATTACCGTTGCAGGGCGAGTAATGTCATAGATAAATAGTGAATACGATTAGTATCCTACACTTGAAGCGATGTATCGTCTTTCAGAAGGCAGTGGAAAACCGTACACTCAGTGGTTTGCAGGTTTATCTAGTTTATTGGTAACAGATGAGGAAAAACTTGAGTCTGTTCTCCTCTGACAGCCAAAATTCATCCATGATGAAAAAATTAATTTAACCAGAGGCTCTATCGACTCCTTGATATCAGAGTCCGTAAAGCAGTATAGGTCAATGAATTTAGCGAATTGGGATCAAAAACGAGACACAAAAAGCCCTGTGTAACCTGTGGGAGACGAGTAAATAATACAAGAAATCAGTGAAGGTTGTAGGGAACTAATAGTTTAATCCATTGCTCTTTAAATTGAGAGCTAGTTGGTAAAAACCTCTCTACTTTGATATAGGTTTATCCAGCTGACCAGGCAAATATAGATCGAAACGAAGACCAAGTATTCTTTGACGGTCATATCTATCTCCTATGACAAAATTACTTAGTTAACCGTTTCATCTACTTATCAGCATTTGAGCTTGTGCTGAATCATATGCAAATCAGTTAAGAACGGGAAATAAGATTTCTCATCTTACAATATTACCTGAGTAGGACTTGTGGATATCACAAATAAATAGCGCTTAGGGTTAGAATCCATCATTTGAAACAATGAGTAAGCTTTTCAAAATTCATTCGAAAAATGATTATTTTGTTGTTTGCAGTCCTTTGTAGCTCACAAAAGTCGTCGGGCGAGCGAGTATGACAAAATGAGCCCATGAATTCGGACAAAGTCAGTTAAAAAGTCCTAATATTGAAATATCAGAGATGCAGTAAGAATGGATGTTGCAGTTAAGTAGTTCAGAATTTGACGTTCTCAAAGTTGAAGAGATATCTTTTAGGTCCGATAACCATCAGAATTTTGTCGTCTACTCGAAGAGAGGTAATATTCAGCCGAGGTGAAACGCACCTTCCAGATCCCACTGTCAGCCATAAGAATTAATTTACTCTATTTTTCGATCATCTCAAGAATCTACAGTAGACACCACGTCTTGTGATTATGGACACATCGATGTTTTGATGACCCTGCAATATGGAGTTCAGAAAGGGAATTTATTTACTGTATCCTGTCAGGATTTATTTACCTTTTTTGTTGAGGCTCAAGGAGAAGCTGTTTGTGCAACAATGTACCAAGTACTAGATAGATGTTCAATCATTTGATGGATGACAGCAGTAACCTGTGTACAGTGGGAGAGTAGATTTCAAGTTTATCAACGGAGTAACTACATTTTAATCAGCTTACCTTGGAAATTTATCTTGAATGTTCGAAACAGGAAATAGTTATAAAATACTCCATAGGAGAGCTTTTTAAACCAGGACATACCCTAAGTGTTCAGGAAATACATTAGTGCTAAAAGAAAGAACTTAGTGTTTTGATGGATTGTATGGAAAGAGTTTTGTTTTTCCTCTCTGGGACTCAGACATGTGTCCTAATCTATCGTAATAACAATCCTTGATTTCTAGATACTTCATCTACCAATGCATTTGAGAGACGAATAATGAATGGTATCAACAGAAAGTGGCACGACCCAGCATCATCCCATCTTTAGTCAGATGTACTACATCTAGAGAGATGAATACTTAGACTATGAGAATCAAAATCTAAGTTTCACCAGTAATTTTTACTTACATCGACAGTTCAAATAACAGCTGTGACATAAATGATATATAAATATCGAATGAACTCATACAACTTTGCCTGGAATTCATAGAAATTTGGTTTTGTTCACTATTACAATCTACCATGAAAGTCAGTAAGATAACCTAGTGGACTCGATTAAAAATTTTTATAGACACTTGTCGTGATGAATAAAGTGGAATTCACATGTTTTAATGAGAAGCTATTTGACTGTTTAATTAATAAAGAACAACAAAAAATAATTTCATACAGTTATCCCGCCTTTTTGAAAATAATTTGGGTGAGGTCTTTATGTAGATGATATAATATGAACTACGCAAGGTCAATTCGAGAAAATTTACGAATTCAACTTCTATGCTAAATGCAAATGTCTAAATTCAAGGTGATGGATTTCCATTGTGAACTTACTTGTCCATTTTGTGTATTTGGATACTAGTTCTCCAGGATCCAGAGCCACGGGCGGTTTAGTTGTTCAGTATATAATCTGTTTGACGCTGAGGTATAGCTTCTTCCTGTGACGGTGAAAGAAACATTTCAGAGTTTTCCACTCCTGAAATTGGGATCTGATTACTTAAATTATTGGCATTGGACAAGCTCTTTTGTCCTATTTGTTGCATTACGATAGAGGGAGCAATTAATTGACGACCTTGGAAAAACCAAGTGATGTGCACATTATTAGGCTTCAGCTTTGAGTTGATACGACATAAAATTTCACCTCTTCGTCCTTCTTCAAGGACTACAGATACTGCGATACCAGCAACTACTGGTGATCCCGAATCTTCTGGAGTAGATGGCGGCAATGGAATAAAGTCTGCCAAACAGTCGTGGTCTAACATCTATAAATACACTGGCTGGAAGAACTGTAGAACTAGGGTTCATGTTTCGGCATGTATACTGACCACTATCTTCGGCTCTGAACTTCTGAATAACCATCATTGTTATCTGAATAGAAAACAGGAAATCGTGATATCATCAAGTAAAATATGCATTGATGTGTATTAATGGAACAGTGCCCCCTATACAGGTTATGCGAGCTTAAAAAGTTAGCAACCCAGAGCCTTAGTTTAAACTGCGGCTTTGAATATTTGTTAAGAAGGCTATTTTGGTTCTACGAACTCATTCGAGCATGAAGACGCCATCATATTACTGACATTTGTAATACTCTGTTAAAGAGTTCTTGACTTGTTTCACTTTAGACTCCTTTCGGGGTGAATTTCAACGTAGTCGATGCCATAAAGTTCTCATGCATATGCCATTTACATATTTAGGTGGTCGAAAACTGATTTACCAAAGGACAATTTGGACTTACTTTCAATTCAGGGCGCTGCTGAGTTCAGTAAGTTGAAAAATCACTAGAGGTAGGATAATCTTATCCCAGAGTTTTTAAACTTTCACTTAGCATTGAAATTGCCGCAATGGACGTAATGTTGTTATTTAAATATTTTGTGAAAAGTTTTTCATTTTCGTCATGAGTACAAATTTCTCTAGATCTTACAAAGACTGCTGGATAGTTCCATACTACTTTCTGGTCTATCAGCAATAAGATGTTGGTATCAACTTCTAGATTTGAGTAACCAGGATCTATCAATCAACAAAACACTTCTAATAACAAATAAGACTCATCCAACAATTACCTACCATAACCTCACTACTTATTCCTGTTTTAAACGATAAGTCTCCAACATCAGTGGTATTTTCAGCAATTCTATTCTGGAAACCACTTGTAGCTGGTTAGGACGAAATTCAGGTATAAGGAGATGCACTGTTACACCAAAATTCCACCTATGTAAAAACACCGATTGATGGGAATATATCAAAATAAGAAAAAGCATCGTTGCAGATATCGATGATGTATTTCCGCCCTTTCTTGCAAACCTGCTTGTCCTACGATGAAGCATAAGTTGAAGTACGTAATTGGGCCTTGACAAGAGAAGAAAACCAGTTGAGCCATTCTGTGCCTGGGAGGAGGAGGGGAAAGTGAAGTTTTTCTTTAAGGATGAGAAGGTTGCCAGATTTTCCTTCTGAAGTTGAATGAGTTGCGGGTGTCAATACTTTAACTCTCATCTAAGTTTGACAGACTGTTTAAAACCCAAAATGATGCGAAACATATGGACTAGACAGTCTGCTTACAGAAGTCTTTAAGGAAAGAGGGGAAATACCGTTGATTGGAGTAACTAAGGTACAAGCTAGCATACGGGAGCCAGACACTTTCCCATCAAACCATTTACATGATAAGTCGTTCCGGTTTACAAGATAGTGGACAAGTGTTTCTGTATCATTTAAAGGGGAATCATCTTGGCGTAGTTCCCTTCCAGGTCCTAGGATTACAGTTATTTTATGCAGAGTTTTAGCTCTCTAACAACAAACTCCAGGTTTCGGCCCTGGATAGAAGTGCACCGACCCTGTTGAAGGATTCTAAAACGCAAACATAACCAGTTACGTCCGAAAATTGCCATATGTCGGGTCCAGAAAATGATATTCGAACACTTCAAAAAAGGTTCGCTGGTACTGTCTGACTGTAAAAGGTATACTCAATACGCTATATTATACTGACCAAGGCTTCCATCTCCAAGTAATCCGGCAGTGTAAGCACTTACAGAGATTTGTCTTTTGAAGTACCGATAAGCAGTAGTTATCAGCAGGGGATATTCACTGTTACCATTTTTATCTAACTTAGCTTCAAACATAATAAGAGTTGTAAGAAATTACTCTGAGTATGACAGGCCTTCAGTTGACCTATAGTATGAAGCTATACAATCTTGTTAAAAATTGGTGTTTTCCAAACGCTTTCACTTAAATTCTCACTATGTTTGGCCTGCACTTCGTACCTTCCAAATATACGGTGACACAACGGGACTAATATGAACCGACTTCTAATTTAAGAATTGGGAGTAAAGTGATAAAATGCAATGCCCACTTCACCTACTTCAGAACTGCAACAGCCCCAAGCGGTCGGTTGGCAAAAGAATCTTAGCTAGGATAACAGTGAGTTGTTTTACACTCTCCAGCTTATGCCATCTACAATTCTATAGAGACTTTCGACAGTAAATTACAGGACGAATATACTATGAAGACTTTCGCTCTGTTCCATTAAACAGCAATGAGACAGCTATTGAAAGTAGCAGACATAAAGAATTTAAAGGTTTTGATCTTATGTATCATCATAAAACTTATTCCATGTATTAGAATAACTGCGTGAGCAATGTTGAAGTTAGACATCCACTACTAGGCAAGAAAAACAATACAGTCGATGAGGATGCGAACCTTTATCGACTAAAGTGGCTTAAAAATATGTTACGCATGCTGAGCTGCACCTTATTCCAGGCATTTCGTGAGAGAATACCATAAATAGTGTTAATTCATATCGTATACTGGAATGTAAGGGTAAGCTTCCCTATTATAGTAAAAATAGAATATTTGATACATGTAACATAATGTATGTATTATAGGCCTATAGTCTGTAGCGAAAAAAACCCAACATTTGACTATAACCAAGAATGATGTCGGAAGAATCTGAACTTTAAGAATTTATTCGTAACAAAGCAATGAATCGATGAGAAGTAACATGAATTCCCTTCATTCTGAAGGTATAACAGAATGGAGTTTCATGACTGCTTGATGACTGCACTTCAGTCTTCCTGGCATAAGAAGAAACGTCATTTGACTATGTAGTCTTTTCAGGTGACTTTGAAGGCCACCCTAGTAAAAATCGAAATAGCCAATTGCGTTTCTCCATTTCTACTGAAAAGGTAGATTTTCATATAATAGAGAAGTCTGATTGGTTATTTCAGTTGTTGCTAGAGCGACCTTTCAATACACTCAAGTTTTCACCTGGTATTTGTCCGGGCCATGTATCAAGGTTCAGGGTTCCTGGGAAGGGTAAAGAAGACATCTGAATACTATAGTCGAAGAATTAAACCGATATGAAAAAAAGGCAACTGTAGGGGAACAAATAAGCACCTTATTTCCATCCCGCTGAATTTTTTTTCGCAGGTTTTCTGATTTTATGTTACTACTGTTAACATCATTTTTATTTTTAGCTTTGCTTATTATTGAATTGTTTTATGTGTACTGCTGTAAGGCTTAGCTATATGTACTAAATTGTTTTGTATTGTCTTTCCGTCTGTGTGCCCATGTATTTGAGTTATCACTCTCTTCATAATTTAGTGGAGATATTTCGATAAATAATAAATGAAAAAACCCGAATGACTTTAAAGGCCACTCTAGCAACATCTGGAAAGCCAATTAGGTTTCTGTATTTCGGGCGGAAAGGTAAATTTGTATAAAATACAGAAATCTGATTGGTTAATTGGGCTGTTGCCAGGGTGGCCCTCTAAACTCACTCCAAAAACACACTAAGGTCATGTGATTAAGAACAATGCGTTCTACCCGAAATGTTACCAGTATAGGCCACTCCAGCAACTGGTGAGAAAACCAATTATGGTTCTTCATTTTATAAAAAATCACCATCCCAGTGAAAATGACGAAATCTGAATGGTTATTTCAGAGGTTGCTATGGTGGCCTTTAAATCTGCTCGTAAATGAAATCCACTCTGAACCCATCCTAGCAACAACCGAAGTGATTAAATAGGTTTCTATATTTCGTCTGAAAATGCAGATTTTGGTAAAACATAGAAATCGGATTGGTTGTTTTAGCTGTTACTAAGGTTGGTCTTTAACGTCACTTGTAGATAATGCTGTTTCAGAGCGCGATACAAACCATGAGAAAAAACTATTATGGGATTGAACTCTACCATAGTGTCCAAATTCTATTATTGTATTATTGGAATGGATTTCCCACTAAGCAGATTTTCTGTATTGAGAACAAAATCATACCGGCTAGAGCAATTTTGAGGTGCTAAATGTGGGTTACTGTAACCCTCAATACAGTTTATATCCATGACCACTCAGCTACTAAATAGGACACAACCAATTTTTCGGGTAAGAAAAGAATTAAACATTCTTAGCATTAATAAGCTCACCTTGCTTTGATCTCAAATAAATTACACTGGGTTTTCAAGTACACCTTATTGCTAAGAATTTGCAAGTATGGGATGTATTTTCAAAGCTTCCTGTTGACCACATCGAACCACGCAGTAAGGTTTCCAGAACCTTTTGTGAATATTTATAGCTCAGGGCAAGTTGTCGTCTGAGCTACGGTTTTAGTTTACAAACGAATCAATGTCATGCTAGATATTGATGTCAGTGCATCAGAGCTTCACGATGAGGTAGAGCTAGCCCAAAGAACATCTCACTGTGAACATTTCCAGAATCTTCTTACAGACATCAGATGAGTTTGTATTTGTGTCACAGCGTGTTTGAAATGGAATAATTCCAACGTTTCACCGGAATTCTGGTTTGAGCCTCTTCAGGGAAATAATCAAAATTAAAATATCCATAATATATAAATACACGTCTTTAGATTCATTTATGTATCTTCCGTATTTTAATTTTGGTTATTTCCCTGAAGAAGCTCAAACCAAACTTCCGGTGAAACTTTGGCATTATTTTATTTCCGACATGCTATATCTAGTGTCAACCGTTTACTCAGCGCCCAGTATTTGCGATACTGTTCGATCAAATCTTGGTCATAGTTCATGTAAGTTCTTGCAGACAGTCGATCTGCTTCTGAGCTTGGCATTCATTCCCCATCCCTAGATAACTTACATTTTTCTAATTAATAGGATGCTGATAAACTTGGACAAAGCAAGAAGAATGAGATTAGCAAAATAAAATGATATGATGCTACTGAATTTCATATTGTCTTGTCTACATTGTTATGTGTGCAAGTGAAAACTCAAAGTCTTAGCGTATCTTAATGAAATACAAATGAAAGTAAGAAATATAGACCTATACTATACTCCTGAATGTTTCTTCAGTTGGTGGCTGGTTTCATGATACAAATTATCTTCCCTTCAGATAATTTTCTCAAACCAAAAAAGCGTTAGAATTAATTTGTTCGTCATGTAGAGAATTTTTATATACCCAAATAAACTTGTATTCGTGTTATGAAATAGCTAAATGTAATTTGCATTAGATGGTAAGGATTGTTTTAAGAATGAAAACTATGTGATTACTGTTTTACAAATGTACTGATCTATTATTTTCACCTTATTATAGTGGTTTATCAAAACCCCTTTGGAAACATCAAAAAATCACTAATACCAATATCAAATACGTTATTCATAGACTAGGTTAACGAAAATAACTGATAAAGTAAAATGAATTTGACAAAACATAACATACCAGATAACCTTTCGAGTGGAACTCTGGCACAGAATACGCAATATGTTGACTTTCAGATATGGGACTAGAAAAGTAGTTTACAAGTTCCTTCCCATCTGGTCCATTCCATACAAGTTGTTCATGATCGTGACCATTAGTTTTACCCGGAACACAACATATTAGTGTGACTCGACCACCTTCTGTAACTAAACGTCTTTGTTCTCCACCGATAATGGAAATCTGATCAGGATTAGAGCAAAGAATTTTCGTTTTCATATGAAATAGTGCTTCTGATCTTTGACATAAATAAATGAGAAACACTATCTGCAACAGATTGTTTTGTCCCATTTTTTAAAACCTGTAATGGGAAAAGACTGAACGTATATGTGTTTGAGACCTATGAAAATTACTCTTTGCAACTCATAAACTAAACAAACCAGTAACCTATTATAGCAAACGCTGTTGTCGAACGTCTCTTCACTAATGAAGTGGAAATCGTTCTTCTGAATCCTGAAAGTGTGCAGTTTAAGATGCTTGGTAATAAATATGTGAATATATTACCGAAAGGTCAGTTAACAACTGACAATTTGAGTAACCATACTAATATAACCTACCAATAGTAAATATCAGCTATGTGTAATATATTTTCAGAAACGTTTTACGATCATTCGTATAAAAGATAGGCATTATTATCATTATTATTATTGATATTTGTCTCTTGGGTTCCTAGCGAAACATAAAGCTTCAGTATCACATCTCCATTCCGCTCTGTTCTTTGCAGTCTTTTAGACCTGGCACCACGACTGGCCACAAGCTTTCATTTCTTCCTCATACCATCTCCTCCATGTCACCCTCACCTCAGACGCCCAACTCATCCCTTCCCCTTTGGATTCCAATCGAAAGCCCGGCACTTGGTGTCTCCGAATGCTTTTCTCAGTCTACGCCCAATCCAATCCATCTCCACTTTCTTCTGCACATTTGTTGGGCGATGAGTTCTTGGTTGGTACGTTGCCAGACAGAGTTCCTTGTTGCTTATTCTTTCTGGCCATCTGATCAGATCTTCAGCATCGAGTGAGCGTAGGCAGCAACTGTTGATGAATGTCTGTAGTTTGCTGGAAATGCTCTTCGTGATGCGCCGAGTTTCCGAGCCATATAGAAGCACTGACTTGACTGACATTAGAGTTGAAAGCCCGAATCTTGTTCACGCTTTGTACCGAGTGAAGTGCAATAGATCTCCACACTGATTTCCGATTAATGAAAGTCTGTCTTGCTTTTACGATCCTGGCCTCGAAATCCTCATCTGTGTGGCCGCCTGTAGTTGAAACGATACTGTCTAGGTAGGTGAAAGAGACAACTTCTCCCGTTGATGATGATTGGTGCTTGTTGTTGGTTAGGTATCTTCACCACTTCTGTCTTCTCTACGTTCACCTGAAGCCCCGTCTCCGCTGCCCTCCCCCTTCTGTCAACTTGTTAGTTTGCGCCTGTAGATCTTCGAGGTTGTGCGATATTCGACATAAGTCATCATCGGCGAAATCCAAATCTTCTAAGGTCTTTTCCTCTGCTAAACAGCGTGTGCCCATCTTCTAGCTCCCCACAGTCTGCTGCATGATCCAGTGGACCACAATCAGGAAGATCATCGGTGATAGTAGGCAGCCTTGTCTTACTCCTATCTTCACTTCAAAGGCGTCAACAAGCTTTCCATCGTGAATCACTCGGCATGTGGCGTCTTCACGTAGCTGTTAAATGAGATTGATAAAGATTTATGGTATTCCGTAGTTTTGAAGCACTTTCCAAATCATTTCTCAGTCGACGCTGTCTAGGGCCTTTTCAAAGTCGATGACGTTGAGGTAGAGAATTGACTGCTATTCTGTACTCTGTTCTATGGTGATGGGTAGTGTTGCAGTTTGATCCCCATATGATTTGTTCTTCCTGAAGCCAGGCAAACTATTCCGGTCGTAATTTTGAGTCCGGCGCATTGTTTAGTCTCTTCAGTATAGTGCGGTTTAATTTTGCTTACTTGGGGTGAACAGGAGCATGATTCCCCTCCACTTCTTGCAAAGACTTAGGTCTCTCTTCTTTGGGAGTTTGACAAGGTAGCCCTTCTTCCAATCAACCGGCAAGCACCTTTCCTGCCTTCCTTCCAAACCCTCTGCACTAGTGGTGTGAGCGTGTCCGCTGCAAATCTGTTCGCATCTGTTTTCAGTGTTTCTGGCGGAATTCTATCAGCGACTTTATGGCGTTCAGGACTTCTGCTCTTGTCAGAGGGCTTGTGCTCACTGGTAGTTCTGTGGCTGGGCTGCTGGTGGTACTTCTGGGCTAGTAGCAGGTGGTGGTCGATTCAAGAGCTTTCTGAAGTAATCAGTTCATAGTTTCCTTTGTCTCTCCTCTTCGATAGTGGTAACTAAGTTTCCTTCACTATCTGTCGTTGGTTTCGCCTGCGTTGGTCTCTTCCATCTCAGATAGTAACCTGGTTATTTGATTTCGTATTGTCAGGTCTCTATCTCTCCTACCTGCAGCCTATTCTGCTTCACTTGCCAATGTGTCGTAGAAGTGTTTTTTGTCTCTCCGCGCACTCTTCTTCACTTCTTTGTCCAGTGCAGTGTTTTATAGGATATGTTCAGTTCCTCTTTTCGTTGTTCTTCTTTGCACTGGTTTATCTTCTGCTAAGCATGGCAGGAAAAATTTACAGTGAAGTTTGGTTGCGTTTAGAACTGATTTTTGATTACTAGTTCGGTTTATGATGAAGAACGCAAGAAGTTTAACTTAATATAGCCTTTCTCACCCGCACTATTCATACCAACTATCAATTTATTAAAAATTTGATTGTGGAGATCAGAACAAGGTATTTCAGCGAAAACGTCTTCCAGTTACATCCTCTTCAGCCCTTACTCAGAATATTTATTTTTACAAATAAATGAGATTTGAATCAATGATGGAGATTTGTATTTGATGTGCTTGAAAATAAGCACATTATAAGAGTAATACTGACAATAACAACCATGATCATAATAATCAACAATAGTAATAACAGTGGTGACATAGACAGTTGTAAGACAGATGATGATAAGAACACCAAAAATGTCATACAATTGTTGGTAGAATGGTAGTCAGAGTTGTTCAAGAGTTGGGAAGAATAAAAGTTGCATTATACTAAAGCATTAGGAAAGTAGATAATAAAAGTCTCAACAAAAGTAGTGCGTAGATAAGAAGAGTGAAGAATTAGAAAAAGACGGAGGATTCGAACTTTAAAGCTTTTTTTTAAAATCTTCGCTTGCCAAGGTAGACATACGGAAAGTAAATACTTATACTGCTCAAAAAGGCTTAGATGTTCATCTTGAATTTTTATTGCTCCTGCCACTTACAAAGTTAAGTTTAAATATCATGTCAAAGATTCTGTCCTATATAACTTATTCTTGCCATTCTAAGTATTCTTATCGTCACTTATACTACCATTACTGCTAATTGCATTCACTGAATAGTCAACTTCATTGTTATATATATATATATATATATATATATATATATATATATATATGCATTGACTAGCCATTGAATAGTAATTAGTTTCATGTAATCTAATGCAGAGTGCTGACCGAATTCTACCAACCATTTTACATTGTGGTCACCCAAGCTAGGAAACTCAGCGTCATGGTGCAGCATAATTGATGTTAGGTTGTTAAAGGCATCCGGTAAGAAGCTCTAGATGTATTTTGTGGGCTTGTTAGCACTCGCCAGTAAGACTTATCTGCAACTTCCAGAGGACTGATTTTCCCTCAGTGATTCAAACCCATGAAATTTGAGCTCTTCGGTCAGAGACGTTGCCAGTCTGAATGTTACTACAAGATGAAGATTGAATAATACCACTACTCAAATATTTGTCAGAAATTTGATCAACAAACAAATGAACTATGTATGGGTTCAAGGTAGTTTAGCTTAGGTAAGGTACAATCATCGTTGCCATGTGGGAGAACTGTAGAGTGATCAGTGCTCACGTCAGATGCGGAAACTTATGAGTTTGTGAGTCTACACTGTCTGAAATGGTTGAGAGGTGTCACACATATTAACGTATGTAAAATATTTCAAAAATATCTTCCGCGACAGTCAACGCAATCTGTTATTTCACCTGTTGTTCTCTATTGATGTGTTAACAACCAAAGGTACATGGCACTAAGAAGTCGGATATCATCACAGTTCTGGTGAACTTATGTGTCATGTCTCACATTTGTGAGTGTGCTTATAAGACCTACTATCAAAAAAATGCAGTAAAGAGTTAGGTTCTGATCTCAGTTTTGTTTATATTCCCTCCTTACTACATATTTTGACCTAGGGTTGAAATTTCCTACAGAGGTCTGAAACTCTCCTTCTTAGAAGTCAAAGAAAGCAACTGTGGAGCTATACATTAAGTTAAAATCATTTTGTTGTTAAGCTATATTCGTTTACAACATCCTGTTAGGTTATATAAAACTGCAGAGGGTCTGGCGATTGAGATTCAGTAGATTTGTTTAGCTCTGAAACATTTTACGTATTTTCTATGTTTCATAAGATACGTTTGATGAAAACAGACAATATTTACCTTGAAACGTTACATATTAACTCAGTACAGAGTTTCTACACCGACTATTTAGGCCAAATAATTATGTGCAAGCACAGTAGTTAGGAGCAGGTTTCTTGTTTTATTCATTTAATGACTTGCTTTATTGTTGTTTGGTGTATTATTTAATCATCAGATATGTTACAAGAGTATCTTATTATCCATGTGTGAGGTCAGACGCCCAAAAACTGGTACGCTGTCAGAAATCTGGTCCCAAAAGTTGTATGAAAGTTATGTGTTGCACAAAATTATATCTACTAAATTTGCTAAACTTTTGAAAAACATAAAGAAAAGACCAGTACAAATAACAAATACCTCAACAATAAGAGGGGATATAAATAGATAAGTATGAATGGATGGAACAAATAAAACAACTAGTATTTAATGAATAATAACCAGCAAGTAAGCTGTGCTTCATCTTTGCTTAATGCATTTGACTTTTCACAACATAATACTTGTGTGATCGCCCTTGAACCTAGATGTAGGTTTTGGCTCGGCTTACCAAACCTGAATCTCAACCATCTGAGCCAGTAGTTGTTTACAACCCCGTCGGATGACATGCCTTCCTTGTTTGGATCTTTAGTCTTAACAACAACATTATTATATCAGGAACCTCAGACATTCACAATCTGTAAGTCAAACTTAACTATGACTGTTGAGAAAAGTGCCTTAATGTATATACTACTGATTTTGGAAAGTACATTCTGACCATCAATCTGCTTACTTTTTGAGTTAGATGACATAAATATCTAATTTA